AGAAAGGTATAAGGTATAAGGTATAATGTTAAGAATAAGTTGAACGCCAGAAGAAAACTAACAAAACAGAGTTGTATTTTCTCTTGACTCACAAGCTTAAAAAAGCCAGAAAGCACAACCACAAAGTCCAAAAAACACCATGCAAAATAAATAGATAAAAAAGCTGTAAAAATTGCGGAGGAAAAAAATGTAAAATTGTTCAAAACAGGAAAAAAGCACACAGCTCAAAAACCACACGCATACACTTCCTTTTATCTTTCTCAAAATAATGAGAAATACATAACTACTGATAATAGTTCTTGACTGAGCAGCTAATGTTAGCCCAAAAATAATTTAAGAACTATACACATGTAAGTTAGTTTAAAATATATTGTAGTTTTAGACATATTCTGTATACATTAAGAGTTAAACAAACCAACGATTATCACAGAAAACTAATTGTGTTTTGTCACGGGATTATATAAAGTTTTTTTAAATGTTATCATTTATAGTTTAAATTTGAAAACCAGAGTGATTTGCACACTGAAATTTTCAGAACGAATTTTACAATAACTTGACCCCGGGATTACTAGACATCTTTCATAGGAACAAATCAAGTGTGACAGTTTTAGCTATTATCCACCATAGTGAATTATTTTCCTTCAAAGTTGTTATTTGAAAATCACTTAACATCAAAGTATTTGCATATTATTATCAGCATCTATTGGTAGACCGCGACAGTACAAATAAGGAAATGCCCCTAAGGTATGTATCGAAAAAGTAAATATACAATTCATACTGCATTCAAATATTTTAACATGATTCGACAATAACAACGTTTAGAAATTTAAAATATCATTACAATTTAATTTATATACTATTTTTAAAAAGTTTATTTGAAGATAGACCATTTTTATCTTCATGTTTCGCACTACAGAAAATCTTAAACAGAATTTTCAAATGATAAGTGCGCGTTTTGAATAAAAGAATAAAACACCATTTGAAAGACTTCACTAATGACATATTCATTGTTGGCATTTCAAAACTTGTCTGAGCTCCCAACGGGAGTGCTGTCTATTCTGATCATATCTATTGAATTTTTTCCAATAAAACCGATTGAGTTTTTCCAGATGTATTATTTTCCTAAACTATTTTGCATCTATTTGAAGCAAAAGACTTCTTGTTCCTTTGTGACAATGTCACCAACATGTTTTGATATCATTTAGTTTATTTCTATGAGCTCATCTTATAGTTTGTTGTTCAATTCAACTAGCTTTAGTTATAGCCAATGATTATATTAATATGGAGTGTTAATGAATTGAAATATAAAATACAGAGAATGGTTTCTTCGTTTGAAAGTAATTTAGCCTGAGTCCCAGAGCCTGGAGTTCAGCACTCAACCCCGTGTTATATCATACTCAGCGGATAGTTTAGCATATAAAACTAAAATATAATATTTACAAAGCGATCTTTACAATTACAATCCTATTTCCTTACACTAAATAGCTCAACTTATTGCATTTCGGTTGGTTTAATTCTTCATGCCGAGTCTATGTTTTATTTAGTCTCATCTAAAACATCATCAAAATAAACTCCACTTTATTGGGTAAATGCGTTTCTTACAATTAAAATCCTTAGTCATTAACACGTTGGCTACAAGTTGACTCACTAAAATGTAAATTAAAGTTGCATGGCTTGGTAGTGAATGTGTTAACAATATTCAAATAATATTTTGCAATTTAAAACAGACCAAACACTACCAACGGTATATAAGGTAATGTTTACATTGTATTTCAAGTTTAAAAAAGTATTTCTTGAACAAAAACGTTAAAGTTTCAATTAAATAACTGTTTTGATCTGGTATGTGAATGTTTTTTGCTATGAAGTTTCAGAACAGTAAAACAATAGCTGACCAACCTATATTCCTAACCCCTCAGAACATATGTAGGGAATGATGCTGCACCGAATGGACAGAGAAATGCAAACATATAAACTGTCGTTACCACCAGACCTTGTGTTCTTTGTCTTTGTGGACTGTATTGAGACTAAAAATACATTTAAACTGGCACTTTTATTTAAACTCGAACAAAAGTGCTGTTATATTCTAATTAGAAGGAATCTTAATGATTAGTGTAATGAGTCTTTGAATTGACTTGAATTTTGTTTTTAGTCACGATTTTAGCATTATGCATAAAAAAGACTTGAAATAGTTAGATATTATAGTTAGCAAACATGTTATTGTTATCTATTATGATTGGTTTTACAAGGTCTTGCCAGTATAGTAATTGGAGTTCACCCTTGGCGTTGGAAACCTATTTGAATACCTACCTACCTACCCATAACAGTAGCAATTACCATAATCTCATACTTCGTTAAAAACTTTGATTTAATCTATTAAGTTAAAAAATACTCACAGGTAGGAGAAGAGGTATCTCTTCTTGGGATGGCGTACGTTATCAGTTCAGATTTTGTATTAAAATAATTTTTGATTTCTTAATTTAACTTGATATTTATGAGTCTAGCAACCTTATAGAGGGTAAAATTATGTATTAAAACACTAACTTAAACAGAGAGGCAAATATACATTAATTGATATTGTAAGGTCTTACCTTAGCAATCCTATAAAGTTATTTTCAAACCGATATTAATTTCGAACCCGCAAGTCCATCTTCACTATTCAATCAGCATCAATCTAGGTCAAAATGTATATAGTAGTATCTACCCGATAGGTTTCGTAGAAAGTATAATAATATTTATTACATTACAAATTACAGTTGACACGAAAGTAGTAAAAAAAGATATGGATACAAAACTGTGATTTTTGAAGTGTGGGTTAACCTCACTTTGGGAACACGTTGCCGGCGACTGTCAATTGTTAAAATTATTAAGGATGGATTACTGTATATGGACCTTCGGGTTACAAATTAATAACGGATCAAATATAACTTAATATGATTGCTAAGGTAAGGCCTTACAATATCAATTAATTATATATAAGTAATCCAGAGGGGAAAGCGATTGATAACACCAAACACAAAAACAAATACAAAATAACAGAGGATTGATATTATTGTGTTGTCATTTCGTAAAGTATATCGCAAAGATATTTATTTGCTGGAGTGATTTGTACAGTTGTTGGCTGAGTGTTTGGTACACAAAGATCCATTATTGGACAGAACTGGGCAAACAATGTTTAGGGACTGTTTATAAAGTCAATACAATTAGGATACAATCGCCTGCTTTCATTCCCTACAATCGTCTTTGACCTTTGTATTGGTGGATAACAGCTGTCATATTATGTGATTGACATCTACAATCCGATAGAATAAATTGTGCTTATTTGTTAAAATTGTTTTATCAATAGCCATTAAGAATTAAATTCTGCCTGTAGCATATAAATTACAAATTAAGTTGTCAATGAGTTCATTTTACAAATTTTAAACGCAAAATGTTTGACTAGTGTATGGAAGTAAAATATTGACCAATATAAAACATATTTATGGGTCAGTACGTGCAATTTGATTTGTACGGTATGACTAATACTACTCCTTCGGGCGAGAGCGCAACACTAGTCCTAAGAACTTTTAGGGTCAAATACCGAAAATACAAATCATTCATCAACAAACTTTTGATATAATGGCTCAACAATTACAAAGAAGTTTTGACTATACTATATAATTGGTTACGTACCTTAGTCCGTCTTCAGTCTTAAATTAGTCTAGGGATGACTAGTTTTGGATCAAAGAACCATTATCAAATCCTTGTCAACATCAAATTGGAGTTGGTCATAAATCCGGCAGAAGCCTCCATACACATGTTACACGGCAGACACGAAAATGTGGCCAGCCTATTGTTTTTAAATGTGTTTATATTGTGTTTTTAATTGTGAACTTTATGTCAAACTGTATTTACGGGTTGATGAAGAAGTCTGTCGGATTTATGACCAACTCTAATTTGATGTTGACAAGGATTTGATAATGAGTCTTTGACCCGAAACTAGTCATCCCTAGACTAGCTTAAGACTAAAGACGGACAAAGGTACGTAACCAATTATATAGTATCAGTCTTGGTGGCAAAGACGCTTATGTTAACTAGGCCATATTTAGTTCATGCAATGTATGCTTCAATAAACGGCATCTGCTGTTCTTAGTTTTGTCATTGGATTTCTAACGTTTTAAAAGGAAACGGTCCAAACCCTGTCCTTTTTCTCATTTATCTTCAACTTTTTGTTTGATAGGATAATTAAATTTATAGCCTAATCAGAAATGGAATCTAGACCCTGCAAAACCTCGCTTGGAATCAAACCAGCGACCTTCATATTTGAAGAAGAGCACTCGGCAACCAAGAGAATCGAATGCAATCAGAAAAATTTCATTTAGCGCATTGTATTATACAGTATAATCAATGTGAAAATGTGAGCACTTGAGAATCGTCATATATATATATAATTTTACTACCCTTCTTTTTGGATAGCCTTTACAAAAATTAAATGCAATACAAACTAACAGTTGCTTACAAAATTTTCAATAAAACACAATTGTTTATCTATAGTTTAAATTTATTTTTATTTTTATAAACACAATGACCTCTTTTAAAGGGGTTTAATTTCAATTATGTTTAGGTAATATCGATCAAATGGGCTAAACCTTAAGGATATAAATACTTGTCCCACTTCATCGGGAAAGGGGAATCCTAACAGCTGATTGGTTCTGCTGATAACACAGAACCAATCAGGCGATACTGGCTGATATTGGTTTGTGTATCTATATGTAATCGGAGACTGTAGTGTCATTGGTTATCGTATTACGAAAATAATAACATATCACTTCGTAACTAGATACAAAATGAACTATCGAGTTGATTAAAAAAAGTGATATGATTTTATTAGACCACATTTCCGAGACAACCAACACTTAACAGATCAGGTAAATACTGTCATACCTAAACTTGACACCACAGTTGTGTTAACAATATAAAAAAAATCTTGTCAAATATTTCAGCTTTAGATTGAATTCAGCAATTTCGCAAAACACATTTCAGATTGCAATTGTAAGTTATATTTATTTCGTACTGAATTTAACTAAAACAGCTCATATATTTGTATCGTTTAGTGTTAGATGATTGAGGTATGGTAACTGATGTTTTAAAGTTATAAATTTGTTGTAACAATAATGGTGTTTTTTTTCATAATTTATTAATTTAGTTTTATTGATTTTGTATATGTCTTAGTTATAAAGGATTGCAGATAAAAGATTGTTGAAACTTCCAAATGATCCTGTTTTTAATCATACAAAATGATCCAATTTGTTTATCTTAAAAATGACGATTTTGTATTAAAATGAAGCATAGATAGAAAGATTTCATTATACAATAAACTAAATGTTCAACCCAAAAAGTTACAGATATTTTCCTAAGAATTGAAAAACTTAAAATTAGGAAAAAGAGCAATATTCTTTTTATTTCGATCAAAGATTTTTTGTATTACAAAATTGAAGTAAAATTTCATCCCTGTGTGTTTAAAGCTCTGTAATGAGGAAAAATTTTTTGGATCCTTTTTTAGTTAAAACACCCTACGACTATAGAACCTAGCACTAAAAAAAGACGGAACAATTTGGGGTATAACACCTACCTTTCTGCGATGTTGTACCCTCTTAATATATACGTAATTTAAATGTTTTCCTTTTTCAAATGAAAAACCAACCGACCAATAGGCCGATTAAGTCTTGGAATAAAATTATAAATTTCAGTACAAATCAAAAATTCTTCAATGTCTTATAATCTTCTTTTCACGTAAATATATTCTGCGTTTTTATAGTAAATCAACGATCACTGATTTGGTCAAACAAGATGTTCATAAAACTACTCACACTTCTGTTACTGGCGTTTCGTCTAGTCCAGTCTGCACTGCCATATGTAAAGTACATCGCCTGTGAGAAACAGCAATGGCCTGACAATCAGGACGCTACGAAGTGGACATGTGGAAAAGACCAACACATAGGCTTTCCTGATAATGAGTAAGATGATTTATTACTTAGATTTGCCATTTGATGCACATCGATGCCACATTGCAATTATTGTTACATCTGTTATTGGTCAGCTTAAGTAAAACTGGCTAGAAAATCAGCTCCAAAGATGTTATCTCAACAATGAAATTTTCATATTTTAGACATCATCACCTTGAAACATGTATAAAGGGTGTATTGAAACCATACAAATATAATATTTCTTAATTTGTCTTCTCACCTTTAATGGTATTTTTAAGAGGTTTCTTCCGTCTAGGTGAGCTAATACACTGAGTCAAAAATTTCTTTACTGCTTATATCAGCAATGCTAAGCTGTTATAGTGGCCACCTTATCAGAGAGATGGAGGTTCAATCCAGCAGCTAGAGATAAGTGTTTGGTAGCTTAAAACTAGAGAAAATTGTCCTTGATTATTGAGTTTGCAATAATATATCCTTGATTTAACTGATCATTATCCCCTGCAATATCTCTCAGTTAATCATGTACCAAATCTTAACTCATGTTTGGGTTGCAAAACGAATCTCCATTAAACATTTTACCAACATTTTCCCATATATTTCTTTTAGAGTGTTTTTCTAAAATATATTCAACCAACTATTGATTTAAATTAAAAATTGATTCCCAAAACCAAACAAGTGGGTATGTTCCCTACAAGATTTATGTACAGCTTACGCTTATCACAAAAAAAAATATATTTATATTAATTCACACACGAAGCCTGAATCCATTTTTTTTGTTTCAGAAAACAAAATAACTACAAGATTGCTGATTTTTTCATTGAGCTTGAAGGAATGGAGGGAACGGACAATGCTGTATTGTGCACAGCATCTGTTGAAGGAGCAACTATTGAAGCTGTTTGGATGAATAAGTCTGGAAAATATCTTACAAACAGCTTCGTTTTCGGTTACGACGAAAAGATCAAAGATAAAATCAGATTTGGAATCAGGGGAAGAAGAACAGGATGTGATAAGTTACACGCAAGGGTGCAGCTGTATGGATTTAACCAACCTAAGAGTGTGAAAATATCATGTGGAGCTGGACCTAGAGGAGATATTTGCCCTGGAGATAATCTTAAACTTTCTCCAAGACTCGAAAAAGATGTGGCCTAGAGTAGTAGAAAACATAATATAAAATTAAACTATAATCCAAATATTTTATTTCGTCTTTGATCCCCCAAAATTCTTTTAATGGATTAATGAAAATGGCATATCAAATTTATTATTCTATGTATGCATTTTTCCAATGACTATGTCTAGTAAAAGAACATCATATGTTATTACACCCATTTATGGTAATTGTTATTAGTAAAACAGATCAGTACTTTAACAAAAACCAAATAGTGACATATTATTGTATATTATTGAAATGAGTTGGTTGAATCTTTGTAAATTTATGTTTTGGGGCTTTGTATTACTTTAAATGGTAATGGAGTAATTAATTTTAATTTAATTTTAAATTTATTCATAATAGATTTATGGTAAATAAAATTTTTTATTATGTACGTTTTTATTGGTTCTAGATTTTGTTCATATGATGTCTGCATTGTGATACCATATTACATGAGCTGTGGTAATTAAGCTTACGTTAATTGCCTAGTCAATAATAATTTCGAAATTATTCATGACTTTTCTTAGGACTCATACTTTCTAAAATTTCTTTCTGCAGGAATATATTGGCAATACAAGGGGTGGTTATTGAGCCGTTAAATACAGAATACAATATTTACCTGTAAAATATGTTCTCAAGTGTTTTCTGCCAAATATTTAGGATAATTATGTTTCTATAATATATTTGACTGGCCTACTTTTTTAGTTTGTTCGTAAATCGATAAATCAGGATGTAATGTAATCAAATAGAGTTTTTTTATACCACACAAAACTGAATAAACTCACCAGAGCTAAAGTACAGACGATTAACCAAGACAATAATCTTGAATAACTTGGTTGAGTTCCAGATACTTACGATTCCACTCCATTAGGCAAGCAATCAGAAAATTCAATTAAAGAATTCCTAACAATCATAGTTTCTCCGATAAATATTACACATGTTTAGTAATCGTGCATACATGTTTTTATAGTAGTAACTATACATTCAAAGAAGTTAACCTAATGTGGAATTAGTTATATTATCATCTTTAATTCCAAAAATAATTATAAAAATAATAGAACACGTTTAATTTATTTTTAATACATGGTTGAATTTTACCAGTATATAATAGACACAATCTTTAATACGCGGTATTATGACTGTACTGATATTAGTTGAAATATGTTTTAAATTTGAAACCTATGTTGTCAAATGTGTTATATTTTTTAGCTAATTATGCAGTTCTATAGACCTGCTCACCTATTCATAAAATCAGGTAGGGTTAATGGATTCAGTAAAAGGGACTAATGAATTTAAATATAAAAAAAATATAAAAAAAGCTTTAAATAGAACTTAATGCTTAAGGCCTGTGAATATGTTTCGCAAATAAATTTTTGCAGACTAGCGTTCTTTTGAGTATACATCTACTAACATAAAATTAACATAACAATATTAAATATCCTTCTCTCATGGGCATAACGCAGTCAGCTATCAAAATGACATTTTGCTTACTATCAATACAAAATGATCATTCAAGCATCTCAATCTCTTATTAAATAGTAGAAATACAATTGAACTGAAGATTAAGAACCTTGTTTCAACTTATAAAAACTAAAAATGATTTACAACACATTCAGTAAGAGTACTATCTACAGTAATACATATAACTTCAAACATTTTGCTCGCCTATGACTAGTTATTTTTATTTTTTTTATGGAATAAATAATGAAAGCTAACTTACCATAATTATTTTCTTTAAGATTAAATGCAGATGTTGAAAACTATTAACTATACATATTGCACTATTAACGCCACACCATTTGGAACGAGTTCAACTTTGGGATTCATCCATAAAAATAATGTTGGGTGTTTTCATTTATGGCAAGGGAATTTTCCTGAAACAAATATTAGTAATCGTGGTAGTCCTGTCCCTCATTGAGCTTTTTTGTAAGTTCACGAACCCTTCATTTGTTACATGGCTCTTTAAAAAAAATTCTAAAAACCGTATCATAGTATTCATTTTATACAAGGTAAACAACGTAAACTGGATTACAACCGTGAAGATTTAAATATGCTTGTAAATATTTAACTTATTTTAAACATTTTTAGATACTTTATATATGGTGCTTCTAGTCATAATAAATTTTACTATGCATATAGAAAATAGCAATGATAGCAATGACATCTTCATATTTAAAAAATGCTACACAAAAGTTAGTTGCAATAGAATAATGAACCTTAACGCAACAAACGCTTTACGTACAAAGAGAGTTCCTAATGATGTTGGCCGGTTTTTTGTTGCGACCTCACAAAACATCTCGAATAATGGGAATCTGATAGTCTTTTAACTAAAAACGGTGCCATGACAGTTTGGAATAACTTATAAGTACATTGCAGTGTAGTCTACTTAAAATGCCAGGTTTTGGCTATGAGCTGTTGGACAAGTAGGAATAAATTATGTAATTACTGTTACAGCTCGAAAAATGTGTCAATTTAGTAAATTTTTCTGTGTTAAAACACTATTGTCAGCTTCAGGTACTTGAAGTGTTGATCGGTTGTAAACATCGTCAAGGTAAACACAAAGGGAACGTACAAAAATTACAATTAAAAACTTAAAAGCATTTAAACATAAAACAAATATGCCTGTTCTGACAAAAGTCTGGCTAACCACAGAAGTTCTTTATGTTTAAATGTCTATATGTCATCATACTACAATTGTTTAAACCTCTTACCTTTTATTAAGATAACAAAACATACAAAGAAAAACTATTGAGGAACATTGTTTCCACCAAGTTTCAATTTGGGATTTTTTTTTGAAACCAATTATCTTTTTCAAAGCCACAAAGAATGCATACTTAACCTAGTTACACTGCATAGAAGCGAATGGTTTTTATACCTCAGTTCCTTTTAGCGATGTTTTTCTTCAAATGTAGACATCATTAGTGCTGAGTACAAACGGTTTTTTGTATAATGAACCAATATGTTTTAACACGTTTTAAGAATTAAGACAACATTATGGTACATTGCAAAACTTCTAACGGGATGCTATAAATAAGCAAGGATAAACATTATTTTGGAATTAGAAAAATTATGCAACTTAGTTATGGAGAACCTAACCATCAGTCGATGTTAAAAATACTATTTCAAGTGGATTTGTTTTGTTTTCATCTACTATTCCTGTTATTAAAGCTATGTTAGATTGAACTGCTAGAGGTTCAACCTCACAATCGTTTCGAGCAGTCGTCAGTTAGTGTTTGAAACATAATCATTATAAATATGTGTTTAAATATGTTAAACTAAAAAAAATAACAATATGTTTAAATGTTTGAAAGTAATTTTATTTAACAAGAGATGCATACAGAAAAAGAATATACTATAACTTTTATAGGCCTACTGTAGAAAATAAATATCTTACGTGTTACTTTTCATTTAATTAAATGTTTTATGGATTATAACTTGCCTTATTTAATAGATAGATTTGTCTATCGAGTTCTTAAGTTCATTGGAGTTTTTTGCACCTGAAGTGAGTACTGTCTTTCATTGTGTTTAACCACCAAGATGGTTAAGACTTTTGCAGTAAGTTACTAGTTGTACCAATTTGCGGTTGAATTTTCAGTTCTTTGTTTAGATTTTTAGGTTTATATGTTATACATCACAGTATAAAACATAGTCATAATACAGTTCAAAAGGAATAATAGTTTAGTGATGTTTCTTTACTATGGAAATAAAAAATTATTATTTAAGATTTTAATTACAGTGTTTACTAGGGTTGAATTCCAGCTTACAAATTGTTCAGGGCTCATATAATAATCAATGTTGCAAAATAAATGAGCCGCACAGAAATGTTAAAACTATCTTGGTTTGTTAAACACCAATTACACGTGACATAGCAACCTTTTTAAAAATACTAATTAAAATCGTCTAAAAGAGAATAAACCGTTTTACAGCGGAAGGTTGTAAATAAAATATCTAAAACCAACCACACTCACCATTTTATTCATAGTGATTTTTCTTGTCAGAACGAAACAAAATATTTTTAGAATACTTAAGACATTACTATTAGTCTGTATTAATTACTATAATCTTCGTCATAAGGTGTTTTTTCTTCTAGGTGTATCGTGGTGGCACTTCTTATAATGACATGTCTTGCTACCATGACCCCTAACCAATGGGAGATCTACACAGCCTACTCAAAAGAAAGGGCTAACCGCCAAAAACAACAAATCGTGCAGAATCAAGGTAGCTCGGTTACACAATTGTTATCCAGTAAATTAGAGATAAATGTCTATGTATTTGATAAATTTAAAGGTCAATGCAGTTTACAAACTATAACTATTACTATTCAAATCATTGTTTTAGAATTTTTAGAATGCTTAAATCATTAACTTTTTCTATTGTTGTTAAACTTGTAATTCTACAGCCAATTACCACATACAATGCATTATATGTTTTGTTAGTCTGCAAATAATTGCATTTTGAATCATAAACACTTAAAATGGAACGTGGTTTTAACTCATTACATTTTTGTGGGTCCACCAGAACCTTTTCCTACAGTTACCTAACAATGTACATGTTCTCTCACTGATTTGAGAAAGCAAAGTGGCCAATTCGCTCATCAGTGAGACAATGTTAACATTGTCTCACTCTAATTACTTTGTCTCACTCCAGATTTTCAACGTGAAGGCACGAAATAGTGAGCGCGTAACATGCAGGCAACGTCGTATGCGCGCGACATACGTTGGCAGCACTGGCTGTAAATCAGCTGGTCAGCTGTTGTACTGTTGTATTTGTCACTTCACATTAAATGTTATATTAAAAGTTCACTTCTGTGTAAAAATAGGTTATGTTTCTTCACCAATTTATTTGTTTTATGGTAACTGTAGGAAAAGTATAATGTGCAACTCGAGTTCAAAGTACAATTGCCTCACTCGAGAAACCATTCCTCACTCGCCTACGGCTCGTGAGTAAGGATTTCTCTCGAGTGAGTCAATTGATCACTTTTCTCACTAGTTGCACAAATAACTATTTCAAGTTAAGTTTTAAACAAAAACCACTGGGATTGTATGCTGCAGTGCATTGGAAATTATATTTAAAATATGTCATTTCATGTTGTAAATTTTTTTTATAATTTTTTTTTTCAATGACAATTTTACCCAAATTTAAAATTTAAAGGAATTAAAGTTTCTAAATTACTTGTTATTTGCATTTGTATTATAGTGTCTGCATTTTTCTAGGTAAACCACAATTACTTGCCTCAAGTGCAGACAGCCAGATCAGCTTAACTTCTTGTAACAGCTGTTACTTGTGTTAAAGGTGAAGCTGACTCAGAACTGCAATATCAGGGGGGAATTATTGAGGGGCCAGCACCGTGTAAATGATAAAAAGCCAAAAGCAAAATTTAAAAATGTATTAGGCTACTCAACAATATTACATATTAGTGCTTAACATAAGATTTATCAATAATTTAATCTTTGTAAAAGTGGATTTAGTCAAAAATTTTGTAAGCCCGTATACAAATAATATTTTGCTCAGACTAAAAAGTATTTTGGGACCGGTAAGGGGTTTCTCAGGTTAAATATATTTACATTAGTGATTATATACAATAGTTGGTTTAAAAAATATAGAACTAATTCTTTTTCTATTAGGTCAATAATTAGGCTGCTTAGCGACAAATTTAGTATTTGCATATCTATAAACATTGTGAAATATTTTTTAGTATTATTGGGAACGAAACCATCAACAGAATATGATGAGCATTATCATACATGTATTATAAGCTATATATTTTGTTATAATGTTTTATAATACTGTCTTTGTCAAGGACTGAATTAAAGCAATTTTAAATTAAAAAATTAATTAGGTTACAATCTTTTCGCATGCGTGGAAAACCTCAATAAGGAGACTCTAGATAACAAGCCTCAATTGATTACAAGTTTTGTTTTATACCCTACGATTTAAGTTACCCCTAGACACATGCAATTGCTGAACTCGATAAGAAAACCTTTTTAACGAGCCTTGTTTAATAATTTTCATGAGTCTTGTTATCAAGGTTCTACTGCAATTTGTATCCAAATGTTAAGTAATAAAGAGTTCAGATGCGTTTAACATAGACAACTGAGTTGTATTTTTTCCTTACTATTAACAGATCACAGTTTACATTTTTTAAATAGAACCTACAACTTAAGCTTGTAGAAGTTGAAGCTACTAGAAGTTGGCGCTCTTTCACGGGCACTACACGTAAGACTACCTGTGCCTTTTCCTTCTACAAGATTTGATTTGGGCTTACTGGTTCCACAGCTGACTTCTAACCCAGACGCCAGTGCATCGTCTACCACCGGCATAAACTTAGTGTTGACCTTGTCCGTGCATACCTTGTCTTCCTTGCAAACCTGTAGGTCCTCAAGATACTTAGCATAACTGTTGTCAAACTCTTCTTTGGTAAGGGGCTTTGCAATGATGAGGTAAACCGTTGAGAAGAGTGTTACCAACAGGAAAAGTAACTGAAAAAAATAACTATATATAAAAATAGTAGTGATCATTAATAATATATTTAATATGGGAAGTGACATGATAACCCTATGCTTATACTTGCATTTTAGCTTCCTTCACAAGACTCTCTATTTACCAAAATAAGACTGTTATAGTAACCAAAATGTTAGGATCTACTGAGAAGACATAGTTCTGGAGTTTCGTCGTTTTATGTTGGTTCATACGCATCATTAAAGGAATTGTTTAATAAACTGTTTAATCATCCGGTATTATTGACATGTGTTAAAGAAATGTAATTATTATTTGTATTTACATAATTTTTAAGTACTGGTGGATTTTATCTTCCAGGTAAAAAAATTAGACATGTAAAGTTTCCAAATAAAAAAGTAAAATTTGACTTTAAATAAACAGCCTTACTTTTAAAATGGGTTGGAGTCAAAGTTATTTTGCTAATAAAAAAATTCTTGAATGAAACTAGTATAGCTAAGCTTAACTTTTAACTTAATTATCAAAACAAAATTTTCATTAATTGTTTCATAAACTGTTTAAACATCCGGTATTAATGAAATGTGTAAAATAAATGTAATTATATTTTTATAAACATAATATCAAAACACTGGTTGTTTAGTATTTTCGTAGAAAAAAAATAATGTAAATTTTGTAAATAAATAAGTAAAATATGACTTTAAATATACAGCCTGATTGTTCAAATAGGTTGGCATCAAAGTTATGTTGTAAATAAAAAAAAAATATTGAATGAAAGTAGTACAGCTAAGCTTATCTTTGTTACTTAAGTATCTAAACAACATTTACATGTTTTCTAAGAAATCATTTTAGTATTCCATCCATGTTAACAAGGAACTTCAGTTGTGGTACTTTTGAGCTCATACCAATTTCGGAAACCTAATCAAATACAAACTATACTATCGCTATAATGATAGTAAAATTGTTTACTTACCTTTGTAAACAACATTTTGCCTTTATTTAGAAACAAATTTAACTATAATACCATGTTCCCAAAATTATTCACAAAGTAAAGCATAACTCGAAGCTCCTCTTTACACTACGCATATCCAAGACACTTCATTATGACGGCTTAATCAAAGCAAGCCCACAAATGAAGACAGCTGTTAAAGAGCAAATGTTTGTCTAGCAATACTTAAAACTGTCTGTACCAAGCTTCTCTATAATCGTTGAGATCAACATCAATACAATCTCAAATTGTCAACACTTACGTGTATATAGTGAGTTGATAAAAGAAAATATATATGCAAAATATTAATATGTTGATTCCTGTTTGTTTAATCTATACTATTATAAATACGAGTCTGTTTCTATATTTTTCGATGTTGGTTTTAATTTGGTCTAAATATTATATTTCGGGTTTTCTATATTCTGTCTTAATTCTTTGGTTGTACTGTACTGGTCAAAGTTTGATAATGGTGATATATGCCCGCAATAATATTTGAGCGACGAATAGACCTAACTCTTATCACTAAAACGAACGTCAGAAAAATAATTTAAAATTAATTTGTCTACGTAATATTTAGTCGCTTATGTTAAGAAGTTGCTGTAAAACAAATTACTAGATGATGTAGGTTAAAGAACAATTATTGGCCTCTTTAGGTATTTTTTACCCCTAAATAAGCTTTACCATGGTGCGTTTTAGGTTTTATGGAAGAAAAGCTGGTCTAGTGTAAGAGTGTGGGAATACATTATCAATAATTGACGATTATGCTAAATTCTCTTGCAGGAAATACAAAGGTATAAACTGAAGAAATGGAAAATTCTCTTTAGCCAGCAATCAGAAGTGGTTGTAAGGCTTCTGATTGATAAACAAACAAGCGCAACATCAATTGATTGATGCTGTAGTTTGATGTCATTAGTAATAATGAAGGTTGACGATAATGAGTGAAACGGCTCCTCATTTCAGCTCCAATGATTCTTAGAGTATTGGTAAGTTGGAATTTTCAAGAATAACAATGAATTGTAATTTATAAGTATAGTTTTAAAGTTTACAATTAAGAACTAACAAAATATTTTGTTTATTGAAATAGTTAATTCTTTTAATTAACTAGTAGCTTTTAATTGCGAATTAAAATGTATATAATTTTAAATCGTATCTTGAATAGGCCATTACTAAAACTAATGCCCTTTACTAACCTTTACCATCAAAAACTTCGCTTTTATTTGCTCTATGGATACGCCTATCACTACTGTAGAGGTTCTCAACGCCTTTGACATTAGGCAATATAGTAGCTATATCTGTGCTAAATAACTGTTTTGAGATATAGTTGTTTATTAGTGGTATTAATTGGAGGCTCTTTCGGAAGAGAGGATAAGGGAAGTGTTTATTTGTTTATAGCTAGTCTTTGTGAACACAATGACCGTTAGAATTTTGCATTACTGTAAAAGTTTTAACCACGCAAAAATGGTTATATTGCAACTATTGAATATTTGTAACCAATGGTATGACCACATGTAGCCAACGTATGATACATACACGAAAGCTTAATGTCTAAGGTATAAAATCAGGATATTTCATATGTTAGTGAAATAATACACAGTGACTGGTGTCGATATCTTTCCACAACTCTGTTAAAACAATGTGAATACTATGAAACAATAATGCAACTATGTAATAAAGAAATGTTGATTTAGGTTTTGACTTGGACACTTCAAACATATAACAACCGGTAATTTTACGAAGCTGAGCCAAAAAGAAACTATTTGCGTCTTTTAAATATAGTGTTTTTACAGTCATATGTTAACATGTGTATTTATATATTATGCCACATTGATACAATCCGTAGCACAGTTTAAATGTAGGTTTTCCATGGTATTATTCAAAATATCATTTTGAAAATGAAAATGAATTATATTTAACATTTACCTACAATGTAGATTTTTTTACAAAAAATTTATTTCTCCTGATAAGTTTTTCTTATTCAAAGGCATTACAAAAATATCTTTAAAGCAGAATCATAACCCTACCTTCTACTTTAATTGCAGTTGGCTGTTTTCATTTTCGTCGTCGCAAGAGCCGCATATGATGACGCCGAAGCAGAAGACACAAGACCTATAACGTTGTCAGTGTTTACGGATAAATACAAAGAATATGTGGCTAAAGTGAAGGACTGCAAACTGCGAATGAATGACAACTTAGTACAACAATGTCTGGACGAAGTTAACAGCAAGTTCCGCACTATAACTCACCGAGGAGTCAACTGCGAGGTCATTGAAGAACTTTCGTGTAAGAGAGGACATTTTGGAAAGTATGAGATAATCATTGATGATCATGAACAAAAGGTGGAACTTCCCTGCTAATTGGAAATTATATTGCATTTATTTCTTGAAACTAGTAATACTTATTTTTACCACCTTTAACTATTTTAAGAAATATGCTTAATGGTAAGGTTCTAGAATTCATCCTTTGAAGTTGTTAACGTGAAGTTAACAATGATTTAAATCGCAAATAAACTAAAATATTGCTAGTAATAAGAAATACTTGAATTTTTTTCTAACAATCGTCAAGGAACAGAATTTTTAATAATTTTCATTTAAAGGCGAACTGAAATATTTGTGTATATGTACTGAGGTTAGATACTTCTTTCTATCTTATAAATTAGTTTTTTAAGACATAAAATTTGTATTTAATTTTTTATGTCTTTACCAATATCACTTCAATCTTTGGCCTCAACAATATTAAAAATAAATCATCATCGTCTTAAGCCACAAAAGGCTTTGTTGGCATTTACTTTTAATTTTATTGTATTACTATACTACGATATCGATCGGTTCGAGCTTTGGGGCATTTATTTAGAAATACGGTTTACTTAAGCAAAAGGCCCACATTATTTCTGAAAAGAGGAACCTATTTCATCTCAGTATGTGGATATTACATTTAAGATTCAAGCGAAAATGAATACATGAAAACGGAGAAGAAAATATATAAAACAGTACAAAAAAACTTATTTTAATGCAAATAACAAATCAAAAGTATACGTTTTTCAGCAAAATTAAAAAGTGAGTTTTTATTCAACACACACGGGTTTTATAAACTTCATTTTGAACAGATTCGATGACAGTGATGATTGTAGTATTTGCTAAGGACATTTTATTCCATTAGCCTACACATGTTACACATATATTACATAAGAACACTGGTAGCATCTTCTAAAAATATAAGGTCCCTGAAAGTAAACATGTGCTTCAATGATGGTTAGAAATCCTGATATTTTTGAATAGCAGACATTTTACAATAAACACTTTCGTTGAGCTATGCAAAAGGTTCGTTTAGCGCCAAATTACAGCAATCTTTTGAATGATCCCCGCTTCCCAGGAGTGCCAGTGGTTCCCCTTCATTTCCTTTGACCCTTTCAACATCTGGTCGTCTACTTCATTAGGTCTGGTTTTATATCTAATGGAGGAAGAAGAAGCTCAACGAGATTCAACGATATTATTCTAGTAATGATGATGCACTTAAATGGATTGAGTTTGTGAGTGTGGGTTTGCACCAGTTGGCAAGGTAATTTATAAACTTTGCATTCATATTTTTTTAGTAAGTCAGATTTAATAAAGTATAGGGCCTTTTGTTATCCAACTCGAATCATGTTTATATTTTTACATAACACTTACTGCTTACGAACGAAAACCTGTCTCCAGTGTGTGAATTACCTAAAATTATTGGTCAGCTTGTAAACTTTCAAGGACGTTAACAAACATATGGGATACTGTTTTCAGCGTGCCGTACTAAACGAATAGGAGTTGTCTGGTAATCAAATCGATAATAAACCAACAGGTTTAATGTGTATTGCAATTATGCAACTGTATTGTGATTAATTATGTTTTTAACATTGTAAATGTTAGCTCAAAGTGTAGCTTATAGAGACAAATGTAAAAAACTAACATGAAAATGTCCTATGCATTTGTTACGGTGCGTTTGTTATGGATTTAATCGGCCAACAAGTTTACCTTAGTAAGTAGTTGACACTAATTAAACTTTAGGAACATTAAACAAGCACAAGTGTAATTAACATAGGAAAGTGTATACATAAATAGGATAATTACGTATTTTTCACTTTTTAGTATCGTTTATAATTTTACTTTAGCAAAAATAGTCTTAATTTAAATTTACATCCAAAAATGTAGTATGTGTACTGGGGCTACGTTAAAAAACCTACTGTCTAAAAGCAATTAAAAACATAAATAACTTTTATGACACAATTGGTTTTCAATTGAAAATACATATATATATTCATTTAGTCATCCAGCGTTTACGATGCTTTACAAAATACCCCCAAATGTTGATTACTGGATCGTAAGGACCTTTAGCTCAGTAATTTTGTCCCATTTGCCCTAATGACCCGATCGTTTGACTCATCAGGGTCGGTTCCGATTCGACTCTAGATTCAATAACGTTAATGCTCTACAGTTATTGGGGATTTAATTTATTTTTGTGTTTTACAATCGAAAATCTATGGCTATTAAATGAGGATGACTAGACACTATTTGAGGTATTGCACTGTTCGATGGACTTAAATGTGACTTTTAGTTTATTCGATTTGTTAGCTTATAAATATTGTAAAATAGTTACAAAAAGAATAAGTAAAATTTTAAGAGTATTTCAGCAGATTATTGAGGGTAATCATTTTTCTTCAAGAGTGACTCTAAAATATATATTAAAACTATGAGTTTTAATACAACCAAACTTTGAAGTACACAATTTTTTAACTTATTTAAGCCTGGAAAGTTTTGGTTGTATACAATGCACTAAATAATTGTAAATACTGTTATCAAAAATATATGCATGGAAATTTGTGTTTTAAGTGAAACCAAAACAATATATAAAAAAAGATAATAGTCACATATAGCTCAGCACCCGCATCAGTGTAAATTGCAAACATGGAATTTGTACAGTATTAAGTGTCTTTCCAATAGTAAAGGAAATGCATTTATCCTACGCATGGTATCTACCTTGTAGATTTTTTACGATTGGTGTGTTCCTAACTCTTAGTTAAGTTCTTTTCATGATAGATAACTTGAAAAATAATGTATAATACCCCATGAAACTAAATGTTTTAAAATGTTCAATATTTGAATGTACTGTTCAGTGCCAATAAAAATATGTTACTCGTCAGAGTAAAATACGTTGGAGTCGAAGTTGCTGTAAATACCTTTCCCAAATGTGACTGAAAGGTGTTTAAGACTTTTTTTTAACAGAAATTACGCACTTTCTTTCAAAACAGAAAGGGATTGTTCTATGTTTGAATAGGTGCTCATGGCACCTTTAGGTTTGCTGTATAGAACCTTGGCATATAATACCTGTAGTGAGTGTAAACATTCAGCATAACACAACAGAGTAGTTGACCAAGAAACAAGTTCTGTTATCATGCTTCATCTTCTTGTTGTAAGTCAACAATCAATTATATAAAATATAATATGCAATAATTGGTAAATTAAATATATATGTATATATTTTAACCATATAAAATTCAATGTTTTCAATATATTCCTCAAGTTTAATAAATATGTTACAGCAGGCATTTATGCGCTTTATGTTTGTTTTACATTTAATTTCAATTCATTCCTCTAGATTGCTATGACACAGGTTAAAGAATATTTAAAACAATGAACTATTTATTGGAAAAAGATTAAATTGAATAACAATAATTTACAATATTTTAAACATGAGTTGCAAATACGTGATGTTTTGTTTATGGATTGCATCAACCGATGCTTTGTTTAACTAATACTAACTACTAAACCGATTTTCTCAATTGGTCATTCTTCTCAGTGTTAAATTTTATAGAACTAATTAAGAATTCGTATTCAAAAGAATTTATTTAATAATATCTATATAAATTTATTTATGAAATTAATTTAATTTGACTATAACAATATATTTACTGCTCATTGAAATTAAAATATTGAGTTTTTACTTTTAAAATAATATTTTTTTATTTATGTGGAAAGTCTTATCCCACAGTTTTATTTTTGTATTGTTGTAAATTAGTAAACAAAATAAGACATCTAGAGTCATGAAAGATTAGACAGGAGGTACTTCCCATTAAAATTCCATTTTATTTATAATCTTTATTCAACGCTTTCTTTCATATTCAGATTATTACAAGCAAATCAGTAAATTTTATTTAATGCAATGGAAATTCTTGAAGAAGATTTTTTTCCTGATGTTCAAACACATGCATAACTTAACTTTAAATTAATATTCAAATCGTTGTATAACATTCAGTCTCTTTGGTTCGTTGGGTCTCCGCCCCTTATTTTTTGTTTGAGGATTGTTGGAACTAATCTCGAAGAAAATATGTTACTGATAAATTATTTTACTGAGTAATATAATACAATAATAAGAAGGTAGTAAAATACTAAGCGCTGTAGTCTTTGCAGCTGAAAAGCTATTGATAAGATATATTATGGGAGGGGGCAATGTAAATTTTTGTAGGAGTTAAGACACAAAACCTACAATCGTGTCAAATTTCAGATCTCCAGCTAAGAAGTGGGTAAACGTGATTTAGACCGTTGCACTTGATGGTGGCTATTGAGTAGATATAATAGGAGGTGGGATCAATTTCGGAGGGGGACATTTTCATATGGTCCTTTTTATATTTATACCTTGGTGTTAGGTCTAATATAGTAAACTGTTTATAGTTTCAATACCTTGCGCCCATAGAATAGGTAAATAATATGTTATAACCTCGTACAATCGGTAAAATATTACAAATGTTGACATGTAACTCAAATTCTGGTGGGCAAGGATTAATGTTACAAAAAAAACGTGTGATGACTAAAACTGGCACCCAAACATAATATAGTACAAAGCAACATAATATTTGCTAGGTAGAAAAAGATGCAAAAACTATTGAACATTTTAAAATAATTGCAAAGATTTATGAAAGTAGGGTGGTAATTTTTTTGGGTGAAGGGGTGTGATTTTTGGGAAATGCCTAATAGTGGTTTGTAGAAAATTTTATTCCTGACTGTAAAACTCTTTCAAATCTTTGCTAGCTCTAGATACAAAAAAATATCAGATAGTTTGACATGGAACAAATCTCTGTCTCCGATGAATTATTTCCGTAGATTACAGGTTTTTATATTTGTAAATATTACACATTTATATTTTACATGTGACACCATATATTAATTTAACTGTAACGTTTGTTTAGGTATCCCTCCTTGTAGCTCTTGCAGTAGATGTCTGCGGCAGCTTTGTGTTGGATATGACCGTTGACGACGCTCTAAAACAATACACACAAGGTGGGCAAAAGGACTGGAATACGTTTGTACAATACATGAAAAATACTTTCGACATCCAAGTAACGGGACAATGTATAAACGGAGTCGGAACTTTTACATTTCAATATAAAGTTCTTAGCTATACTCGGAAAAATGTACAATGTTTTGTGATTCCTGGCCGTTAGGAGGTTGAATAATCTTATGGTTTGAGGATTAGAAACTTTGTTATTGGAATTGTTGTGGATCTTTGTTTAGGAAAATAAACAAAAATCATGATTTTCTAAGCTATTGTGTATTTTGATAAAAACCTGCTTTAATTTTATAACTACATTGATAAGATTATTTATATTGATTAGATTCATACAGTGAGTCAAGGCTTACTAAAAAGTGAAAAGTGATATTAATTTCTCTTTGTTGTCCAATGTTGTTTAGTAAACTTATTTTGAAACCAGTAGACTGTTATGAAAAACATTTACAATTATCAGGATTCGATAGATTTTCCTTTTAGAATACTTAATACATGTAGATGGTAATTCCGAACTGACGTACCATTTTCCACCTTTTAAAGTAATTAGATTTTACTCGATAACAAGGTGTCTTTTCAATTTTATTCATTTACTTATGGTTCGTAACTTCTAATTAATTTTTCTGTAGTAGATTTATATATAGTGCATTGAATCATAATAATTAGCTTAGATGGGATTAACCTAGTTTAGTCAGTTGTCGTTTTTATAGAATGGTAAACAACTACACAGAATAGTATGATGAACCAATAAAAATGGACCAATACAGAAAAATTCTGTTATAATAATTGGGCGTTATATATGGATTAATATTCTAATGATTACACTATGCAGTTCAAGAAAACACTCTCTTCCGTTAATGTTTTTTTGAATATTTAGAATATATATACATCCTTAACGACCAAAATCTTTTGTCTGCAATAACTTTACTGAAACACTCCGTGATTTGCAGTGTTATAAATTATTAGATAAGATATTCAAATAGTGCAAGACCAGTTGACAGATAAAATACCTCAATAAGCGTTTTTGACAGTGGTTGAGAAATCTATCTTGGAATGCAATAACTCAACCGAGTTGGATGGCAGCGGAAATCGTGATGCTACTTTTACCAATATGGCCACGAGTTTTGACACTTATGCAACGTTATGCTTCTTGTGTAGGATATGAATCAGTTTGTGCAAAACTAAAAAAAACTTTTTTATCATAATAGGTTACGGACTACTATTCATTAGGAAATGTCTAAAAGATGATTAATTTGTTTGTTATCTCCCTTGATACCTTTGTGTGTCCCAGGTTTCAATTTAATATTTTTAGTGATTTATTTAAATAATTAAGGAGCATATACAATTTTTTATTAAAGTTTTTATCTAACAAAATTATATTTATACATTTACAAGGTAATATTTTAAAAGAGAAAAGGAAGAAAAGGTGATAATTTTCTACCTTTTCAAACTATAATTAATTCCAAATACATCATTTATATTTTATTTAAGCCTACCAAGCCCTTTAACAATTTCAAATATTATAAACTTACCCAAAATTAAGTTTTACAAATAGAATAAATGTATTATTGTTTAGAGGGAAACAAGTTTAAACCTTGCCTTTGTCAGGTAATAGGAATGTTTACAAAAGTCCATAGTTTCATTGGTCAGTAACTCAAGTAAAATAGGTAGCACTAGCAGCTATGTAGTATAATATTAACTTTAGCCAAATAAAAAAAATATTTCTCCCATGTAGTAACACTACTCAATACAATATGGACAATGTTTTCTTAAGCTATTGATAACTGGTAAATAAACTCACGACTGGATTTTAAATATTTATTACACTTGAAGAATTTGATTTATAATAAAATATAATATAAATACGGATTTATTTTAAATCACAGGGGATTAAATGTACTTAATATTTCCAGGACGAACTTTATACAAATAATTATATATTTACACTAATACTTTTTTAATGCTAAAAGGCAGGATTTTACAGGTAAAACAATTCTATATGAAGCATTCATGCATTGTGAAAATATGTATTTACATGTATGAACAGTGTGATTTATTTTAGGTTATGTTTGAACATATATAACCGATGTAGGGAGTGAGGCAGTACACGCCAGACGTAAGAAAACAGCTGTTTAATGTAAACATGAAACGACAATGACGTTTCTTCAATTTATCACATATGTTTGCATTTGTCTTTCTATACAACCTGGTGCTACAGTACGAATGATCCAAACAAGTAAGTTATCGTTTTGCTGTTTTCTTAGGACTTGCACATTTATATTTTGTTAGTAGAATAAGGCTTGATAAACTCTCATAATTGTTTAACAAATTGTAATTAAAATTAATATTTAAGACTGTTTGGTTATTATTCATGCTCTTGATTTTGGATTTTTGGTTTAAAATTTTACGAGATAATTCTTTTTTTATTGAAAAATACTGGGTAGGAATCCAGAATATCAAATAACTAATTCAGTACCACATTTAAATTAGGTATAATACGAATATAAACACTTATTCTTGCTTATCAGCATAGTTATTTATTACTATACATTATTTATATCTTCATTTAATTACTTATATTTAGAGATTTTTTATAATAATGTAATATTAGAAAATTATGCTCTGAACTAGATACGATTGTTACAAAATAAGAAATGTGGATTTTGTTGTCAGAAAACGATTAAGTTGTTTTACAAGACATAATATTATACCGATACGTATACCATTGGATTAGTAGACCTTTTCGGTGATCTACCCGGAAAAAAATTAATCTTTAACGTTAGTTAAATTATAACTTCTTGATCAGCGTTGTACGTGTTATTAAATTTACGGAAAGTAAATAAAAGAAACGTCTTATAACACTTAAAACTTATATTTACGCTTATACTGTTACTCACAAGACGGTAAATATACAAAACAGATGGTAAGTGGTGATCGATTTCGATTGGACTCTCCAATCATCATCAGACCCATTAGGCGAATCGCCTATCGAATGGGGGTGATCGAAATCGAACACCACTTACCATCTGTTTTGTATATTTACCGTCTTGTGAGTTACAGTATAAAAGTAAATATATGTTTGAAGTGTTATAAGACGTTTCTTTTAGTTAAATAATGTAATTCATACGAGGCACACAGTTTAAACAATTACAATTTATGATGTGTAATAATCTTTGAAGTAATTCGTAATATAAATTGTGATTTTTTTTTACTCGTAAATGAGATGATACCTAGTACCTTGTAAAAAAGGAAATAATGGCATTTAAAGTTTAGGTAGAAAATAGGGGTTTACATTATCTTTACATTTCTATTATCTTTGGCTTATTAACTAGGTATTTTTTCATCATACCAATTCATTGGCTATAATTTAAGTTTACAAACTAATCTATAAAATAAATATGTGTATATTAACACATTAACGTCTTTATCAATGATATAAGCAATGGTGAAATAAACAAGCAATTTCAATTTCACATGTAATACTTTTGAAATTTAGATTTTTCCTGATTTAAAAACTTTCAATTATTTGCACAATACGATTTACTATCAAGTTTACCATTATACATATTTAAGAACCCATCTAGTCTAAAAAGCATACACCCTAGTGTAATACTACTAATCCGTGCATTCTAATCCTAAAAGAATCTGCAGAATTCTTCCCAAGCCATAAAAATATTTACGTTCATTTTAGGATCTAATTTAATGATAAAATTCAACGAAGATTATACAAGCAATCTCTGAATTAGCCGTCTACAAAATATATTTATTTTATAAAAATACAAATCTAAAACTGAAAAACTATATTTTTTTATTTTGCACAAAATGAAATATTGGTTAGCTTATAAACAAGAGTATAATACGGTGCAGTTATGAATGAATAGAACACAAAAATATCCTTTTTATAAATCTAACTTTAAAGTACTGACTAAATGTAGGAAATTATCTAGTAAGTATATTAACACTGTTTGTATACAATAATACATTGAATTATGTACAAGGAATATATATTTATACAAAACCTGGCAGGATTTCGCCCAGATTGAAGTATTATCAGATAAAACTATAAATAAACAACGATTTATCTCAATGTTGTATGTAGTCCGATAAGTAGTGTGTCCACAATAGATTGGTATAATGTCAAGCATATGTTACTTTTCATCGTACTGTGTTCCATACGGGTTGGTTCTTAACCTCCAGCTGATAAAATGTAATCCACTGGTACGATCCAAATAAGATCTGAAAGTTTTTTTCAAAAGCAGATGGAACCAGTTGTCAGTATTATGCATTCTCTCCATCTAGCCACATTCTACAGTTTCGTTTCATTCATAATTGTTGTCAAGTTTGCTTATCTGAATGCTATTTGGACCTAAAATTACAATTTTGACACATTAAAAAAGTAGGTGTTAGCTAACATACTGGATTCCTTGTTTTCTCAAAAAATCCCTTATGATTTCTTCTAATAAGGTAAAGGACGTCGTCTAATCGACAGTATGACCTTAATTCATGAACTAACAGGCAGTTACATACAAAAAAAACATGCGTGAAACGAAATTCCACACATAGATTGAAGTGGATGTTGGATTCAGTTTTTATACATAAAAAATAAGAATTTCATTAGTTTTACTCTCAGATCATAGGCTTTGAAATGAGATGTGTTTGTTTTGTAGGCTATGATCGTTGTTTACAAAATTAAATTAAATTACAAGGGGTGGTCAAGAAAACAATGAAGCTAATTTGTTCATTGTATCTGTTGGTCAAACAGTTTTACTTAAGGTAACAATGTATATTCAGATGAACAAACTTGACAAAAATTATCACACGGAGTTCTAAACTTTATATTATTGTGACTTAGATAATTACAGTATCCTGCATGTAAACATTAAACACTCTATGTTACATTAAAAAGTAACTGTGTGACTTAACTATTGTACTAATCTTTTATGGACAACCTGTATTTATATTTCAATCATCACTTAATTAGTCACTAATTTACAATAAACACCAAACACATGATGTAATCAGAGAATCTACAGATTTTAAGATATCGTCCACATGTTCCTTAAAAATTCAATCTGGTTAAAGTCCGCAGGTTAATACACTAATTGTCAATTCTTAGGTGAATCTAGCTCTCGAAAAACGTTTACACTGCTACCTTAGAAGTACAGGTGAAAGAAGAATAAGAATAAAAGCGTTTAGCGTGTGCTGAGACCTGGCGGCAGAACTCTGAACTGTTGTAGAGGCTGGAACATGAGAGAATATTGTAAGTTAACAATATAAGATATTATGTTTTAGGGTTTTCAAGTTTGTTGAACAAACTTATTCATGTTTGTATTGAAACAATAAGGAATCTTAAGTACGGTTTAATATCATATACAATATTTAAATTGCCTAATGCTGTAAACATAAACAAATATGTAAATATAAAATAAGTGGAAAAGAATAAAGAACGTAGTATTTATACATTAATAATATAGTCTATGTTAATAATGATAAAGTAATGCCCTTTTGGTTCTAGTAGCTAGAAGGTGAACATTTCACCATAATAATAATAAGACCCTGGCAAACTATTAACTAGTTTTTCTGATAGCGAAATAAAATACTGCTAAATGTATAGATATTATAAGTGTTTAAAGTGTTATCAATAATACAGTAATATACACAATAAAAATTATAAAAATTACATTTTCTAAAAAATCTAGTCAAATTGTGTAGTGTAAAAAGAGCACATCACATATAACGAGTGAAATTCGGATTCTTAATCTACCAACATAGCACTGATTTTATATTACGATTTTATATTATTATTTATATTATTTATTTCCCATAACTTTTAAATTGTCTGTTATATAGTTGGGTTAGTAACCATACATACCTCATTAACATTAATAAAATAATTGCAGTAGTAGTCGGGGGGCAAACTGTATTCCGTGGGATTTTTTGTGAAGGGAATGTGTGACTATGTGGAATCTCTTTATTATATGTCACATAATGGTGTAGTACCGGGTGTTTACCCTCAAATTGCGGGGTTTGGTTTTTATGACGTCTTAAATCCAAGATGGCCGCCATGTGTGACATCTATTCATTAAATTGATAATAACTCTTTCCAGAGTAAAATAATCAAATTTTAATTTATACCATTGAATTCAGCTCAAAAAATCAAACAATTAGGTGTTTTGAATCATTGCTCTATGACCATTGGTTACCGAGATATTGAAGGCGGAAACACAGAACATTGTCCCCAAGCAAGACCCCACTACCCCCATGTTATCCTTATGGGGAAAAAATAAAATTGTATATCTAGCTTATTACTCAGCATATCTTAATAATAATTGGTATGTGGCTTCATTTAGTAGAGATCTACTTGATAATGGCCTAAAATCCCCCATTTTTACATTTCCGTGGCAGCAAACCTGCATACTCACTTCCCATGTTATTCTTATGGAAATTTACTACCGGGTGTTTTGTCTGAAAGTGTGGCCTAGCTAGTGTTTTTGCCCGCCGTCTTGGATCCACCATATTGGATATTAATAAAAATTTTTAAATCTAATGCCGGTGTTGTGACTCATTATTATAAACTAGATTTTCACACTGATTTCAATGCTGAAATATGTTTTTAAATATCTTTTTTCGTTTGGAAGAGATATTCAAATTAAAACTCTCCTTCATACATTTCTTACGGACGTTTCGTAAGGTACCAAACAAATGTTGTAACCCTGATGACCAGCCCTGTATGTCTTTAATTGCTTTAACCAAAGACAAATTTCAAAATAAAAATAATTATTAATGTTAAATAAAGGTCCATGATTAATTTTCAATTAGTCAGATTTCATTTAGTGATTAATAAAATTTTAAACCAAACATTTACTGAGTAATTTGAGACTAGAATGAACCCATTGACGTATTAACAACCCGAGATATAAATATTTTAATAAAAACTGATTTGTAAAATGTTAAATTTAATATTCTGTTGTGGTTCATAGCTCAACTCTAACTCGTTCAATTTTAATGATCGATAGCTTAAATAAAAGCTCTTACATCACTGAATACTTTAAGACTAGAACTAATTACTAAGAACTGGATATATGAGAAAAATAATCTGAAAAATAATCAAAGTACGAAACGTCCGCAAGAAATTTATTTATTTATTTATTTATTTATTTCCCAACGGTTTACACCAGTTTACAAGAATATATACAATATTGAAAGATGGCAAAATACATGCAACAGTGAGTGGTAACAGCAAGAACATAATTAATGAACAACAATTAACAAGTAACAAGTAAATAGATACTATAAAATAACAATCTTGAATAACAATAACAATAGCAATAACAAAAATAACAAAATAGACAAGGAAAGACGATAAGTTAACAATACAAATTAGAAGCAGTGAAGATAGTTTTGGATAATAGTACAATGTGGCAAAAAATTTGATTTAACAAAAACAGCATGAGAGGTGATACTTGGCAGCAACAACAGGAACGATTAATTGTGACTAGAGTTAAGGAAGGTAAGATTCTACAGTTAGTGACTAGAATTATTATCACTTAAGCAGGGAGGCGACCTTTCTCCGGAACGAGGACAATGTATGGGAGAGGAAATGTATGGGGGGGGAGGGAGTTTTCATTTCAATATATCTTCAAAACGAAAATAGCTATTTACTTTACAAGTGTAGTAAGAGCGTTTTTACATCACGCAGGTGAATGTTGTGCAACGAGCGGAAGCGAGTTGCATAATTTACCTAAGTGATGTAAACACGCTCTTGCGTAACGTGTAACGTACAAGATTTTACCTGACCCGACAATATACAGGAGGTTGCGAACAACACTTTTCATTATCCATTTCACTCCTTCTAACAGTAACGTTCATTTACGAACAAAAGCTAGGTTAGGAAAATTCTTCAAAACATAACAATAAAATTCAAGCGCACAGCTGATTTCTAGCGTTGAACGTTGTTGGTTCCATAGAGGTATATTTTTTAAGTTAAGCACTCAATGTTATTTAAATGGGTTTCATTACATCACCGAGTGAGTTTTTTCCAACTTTACATCACTCGAGAAGTAACGAAGTTATATACATCACGCTTGGGATAGGGAAGTTTAACATGGCGGGTTTGGTAAACGATATTTACAAAAAGTTTTCGGAATTGAAATTAGCGTAAACATCTAGTTTATAATAATGAGTCACAACACCGGCATTAGGTTTAAAAATTTGTATTAATATCCAATATGGTGGATCCAAGACGGCGGGCCAAAAACACTAGCTAGGCCACACTTTCAGACAAAACACCCGGTAGTACACGATTCTATATGTCATTACCTATCCATCACCACCAATCATACAATTGCTTAATGAAAATCACAAGAAATTACATATGACCCAGAACTATGGTCTATTTTATTTGATTTTATACCTATCATTTGTGAGATTTTTTTGTTGCTACAATAAACCCCGTAGCAGCAGACCTGTATACGACGAATTGCAACGAATTGCAAATGCTTCAATAAATAATTAAAATGGGGCCCCACATTAACATTCCTCAACACGTATGTTCATAAACAAGCATGCAAAAAATTTCCATAAGAATAACATGGGAAGTGAGTATGCAGGTTTGCTGCCACGGAAATGTAAAAATGGGGGATTTTAGGCCATTATCAAGTAGATCTCTACTAAATGAAGCCACACCAATTATTATTAGGATATGTTGAGTAATAAGCTAGATATAGAATTTTATTTTTTCCCCATAAGGATAACATGGGGGTAGTGGGGTCTTGCTTGGGGATAATGTTCTGTGTTTCCGCCTTCAATATCTCGGTAACCAATGGTCATAGAGCAATGATTCAAAACACCTAATTGTTTGATTTTTTGAGCTAAATTCAATGGTATAAATTAAAATTTAATTATTTTACTCTGGAAAGTGTTATTATCAATTTAATGAATAGATGTCACACATGGCGGCCATCTTGGATTTAAGACGTCATAAAAACCAAACCCCGCAATTTGAGGGTAAACACCCGGTAATACACCATTATGTGACATATAATAAATAGATTCCACAAAGTCACACATTCCCTTCACAAAAAATCCCACGGAAGCTGGATATGTGCAGTTTGCTCCTGGACTATAGAGTAAAGTTTTATATTTTCTCCTGTATTAAACCAAATTTAAAAGTACTCACACAAAAAATATAACACGATAAAAGATTAAGAGAGTCAGATGATAAACAACTCAATTAACTTCATATTACAGGTTTGGTTACTTAATATTATAAAGTATCTAAATTCCCAATCTTAAATAAAATATCAGATTTAAGAGACTAACAAACATTTTAAGGACCAAAAATGTTTTTCGCTTATATGTCCATATTATTTTACCGTAGGAGTTTTACTGAACGATGTTTTATAGCGTTGTTTATAATCTCTCATCAATTGCGGTAAAGTAAAAGGTTAATAGCCTACCGAGCTACTTGACATTTACAAAATCGAAGCATAGAGTCAATGACCTTTATGTAGATATTCAACAACATCTAAGTGCACTAATAACAATGCCTAAGAAATTTCTGAAAGGAAAAGATTGCATGAATGTTGTCGTTACATTTGCCATACATGGACTATTTTATTCATAGTTGTTCTTAAAACCTATATTACCCAGGTAATTACCTAAGAGTGCCATTTTTCTGATAATTTACGAGATTTTTGCTTAGCTTAGATATAGTATACAAATAAAAGGTAACAAAGTTATAGTGATCATGATTATTTTTTTTTTTTTTAACAAGACGCGACAGTTTAATACATTATTTTATGATAATGGTAGTTGTACTTAAGTTTGTGGTGCTCCTAATGATTTTATAATGTATATTTGCGTTTATCAAATATGAAAGCAAAAATTAATTCGTTCTGAAAACATTCCATTGATTTGGATTTTTGCATTGTTGGCAAATTTCTAAATTAAAAACTCCGATCATAAATCTGTATTTCTTCTAGTTTTCGACACGTTCATAACTGATGCAAAATATAAAAAAATACAGTTTACGGTGGGGTTTTTATGAGTTAACATTAGTTTAAACAAAATATAGTAAACGACCAAATCCTGTAATTTGCTTTATAAAACCAACAACAAATAATCATAACAATTGTTTCTATACTCTTCCCTGTATTCAAAGGAAGTCATTACTTTTGATTTTAACTAGCACTCAAAGACGAATCCTTTATTCCAATGGGGTTGAGAGACTGAATTATTTCATGTATTTTTTACGACCACGAGTTTTATGTGCAATGATCTATATAATCAATTTTATGACAAAACTGACCTTGAACTCTATCAGCCCGACTCGTGTCCTTGACCTCCATGACGGGTGGTTTATACGGCTTCTCCCCCTCAACACTCTCCTCGTTGCTATTCCAGTAGACAGTAGCGATGGTAGCTAGACATTTCAGCTTCATGTCGCCCTTGTGGAAATGGCGGGCGTCCACCTGGAACTGTAGACCCAGCGTGGTTGTCTCCAGAGCTTCCTCGCCGTCTATCGCCCTTACTGGTCCTCGCAGATACGAGCTGTTCACCTGTCAAATGTTTAAGGTACAGTAAAATATGTTTGAGCACAAAGCACTGGTACGTCCTTGCTACTCGGGAACTTAGCTTTAGCATACATTTCGAGAGTGGCAATGACTGTGCTAGTGGTACACAAACAATGATCCCTATCACCATAAATTACAACTTATAATAACACACACTGTATTAACTCTTTTGATGTGCACAAAATGTCATTTAGGTTATCTTTTCTTTTAAAAGGTTAAGTTGTTGTTAGCTAACGTACTAGGTCCACGGTTGTGGTTGGTGTTGAAATGCAGTGAAATCAGCTTTTTAGTGAGTGGTAATGATCCATTCCCACTCTAGATCGGCAATGGGTTATTTTACCTACCATTTCCAGGCATGGGAATTTTATCATTTCATGCAGTGGTAGGGAAATGCATTTTTGTAATTTCAAGACCTTTGAATGTGTTTTTTTTTACCTAGATAAACACATTCAAAGGTCTTTAAATTAAGAAAATTACCTAAATGGAGATATTTTAATTTTACGGAACAGATTCAATTCTTGCACTTAACTACTATATAACGGTGAGGTCTTGCTACCATATAACTTAAACCAATTGCTAATAGCTTGGTCAATGGCAATAAGAGTGTTTTGTCGGCTCAAAATAAATTATGCAGATTTTTGTGGAGCAGAAATCGTAAGACATGTAGGCAAGGGCTGTAACAATTTTATTACTTTGTTACCCGGAAAATAGTTTCTTTTGCTGGGTTTGTAGTTTTATTACCAAAATATAGTTGATTGGAGGAGTAGCGTCTCGGGCTGACAATCCAGTTGGTAATAGATTGATAAGCTAGAAATTGCTGAATTAAGGCCGAGCTATTATTAATGGAGTCACCAGTGACTTGCTTATGGTACTTAATATGCAAATTAACAATATCTTTATGTTAAGCTCAATTTCGATAAGCAAAGAGATTAAATTTTAATATTTGCATTTAGGTTGATAGTTTTTCTTATGATTCCGAAACTCCCTTCAAGCAAGTAAGGATTCTTGAGGAGTTTTATTATATAATGAGATTGTAATAAAAATGAATGGTGGATATTCTATGAGAAATGCGTTTATAGTTACTTGTAACAGGATATCCAACCTTAATGAGAATCCGCAATACCTATACCCAAAGAAAATTTAACAAGGCCAAATACGTAACACCCTTTTTTAGCAGTGAAATCGTATCCCATCCTAATTTTCTCACAGTAAATATCTGGTCCAATAAATTAACTTGCTGATTCCCCTACTGGACTTGATAGTCTGTAAGTAGTTTACCTGATCCCCGTTGATGAACCAGGCTAGATGTGCTGCTGGTTTGGAGGCTCCAGAGGTACAGTTGACGTTGACGATGTCACCGATGTTGTAGCGTGGTCGTCCCCCTGTGATGACAGGTCCTCTCTCAGGCAACGCTGTGGATATTGTAGCATTAGAGAATATGAAACACTAAATTATCTAACTGAAGCATTGTTGACTCATTGTGTAGATATTTGCCACTTAAAAATAGGTTACGTTTGTTTAACGTTACTAATATTAACTTCCATCAACACAGCATAAGACTTATTCTCTAGGATATTATAGGTTGAATTTAGTTTTTTTTCTTTACAAAAGTTTTAATAGGGGAATAATTTTTTTATGTTTCCCAGAATGTTCTGTGCACTTTATTCTAAGTAGTATCAGCTAAACCTTCAATTATGTGATTTTGTATCAAGGTATTGTTCATAATTAGATATGTTTACACCGTGATTTACTCAGACATCTAAACTCAGCTGTCAAAATTATTATCCCTATTATCTTAGAGATGTAGCACAGCGTACTTATCAAAACTCTCTTCTGAAAAAAAAAAAAAAAAAAAAAAAACAATAACAACACAATTACAACAATAAATAAATATTATACTATAAAGTTAAATTGTTACCAGTAACTTGAAAGAAAAACAACAGTACATCCACCCTACTCACAAACTACAGTATTAACATAAAATAATCCCTGATAGTACCGACATCAACTATAAATTTGTTTTAAAGAAATACTATTTTAGCTTTTTTATTCATGACTACAATGACATCGTATGTCTGAGAATGAAACAATATTTACTGACCTACAGTGACCATGTCGGCGTGGTCTGAGACTGTCTGGAAGGACGGGGCTTCTGCGGATACTTCACATCTGTATCTTCCACTGCTGTCAAGGTCCAGCGCCGTCAGTCGTACCTGGGTCTCATTACTGTGTTCCAACTACACAAACAATTTTCAGCGTTTTTATGAGGTTTGGTAACTTCTTAACAATAAATTATTTTAACAGTTACCAACCGTACGTATAAGTTTCATGGGTTGATTCCCTACATTTGGATTGGTTATGGGACCAATACGTCTATTTATCCATGTTAGTGATCGTAATTTGATTTGACAAATTTTTAAAACATGTACCGTAATAAAATTGTTATTTTAATACAATTAGTAAACAACAAATATTTGTTAATAAATTGGCTCATTATCTGAGCTTCAACTATGAAATATTTCTGACTCATGTGCAATTCGTGAAACCATTTAACAATCAGTTATAATAAATGTTATTGAAAGCTTTCATTGTTATTCAAGTGTTACCTATATTAATCTTGAATTTATCGTCCAATAAAGGTATTGTATCTGCCTTGAACCACTTTAAAAATAATTTTATGCCATTCGTAATTATGACACTACAGGCGTTTATTTGTTTAACGTTGATTGCAGAATAATTTAAAATTTTTAAAGATTGAAATAAAAAATTCTTCTTGAATTATGTTTTATCTAATTGACTTCGTAGGATATCTTTCAACGCAGACAAGGGAATAAATAGTACCACACTTGAGCTCACGAGTTGTACACATATACACATGTTCCACATGAAACCAGTAACTTCAACGACTAAGCCCATTTAGATTGCGGTTAATATTCTGATTTATTTTAGATCAAATGCTTACGTCAACGTAGACTCCAGGAACCGGGAACACCTGGACGACGGGAAAGTCCCTCGGGACGAACCTGTAGAACTCGTGGCCGTCCTTGTACCACTTGACAGAGTATAGGGTCTCGTCCTGGAGGTCGTATCTGCATTGTAGAAGAGAGTCGTTTCCTCTAACCGTGTGTTTGTCTATGTGTAATGCGGTCAGTTTCAGCCCAGCCACACCTGCAACAAGCACACATTTTTTAATAATTTTTATAATCAGTTTTTGATCAGTGCTAGGATCCATCGGACGTTTGGTTGTCAATTGGAACGGTTTGTATATGTTTTAAAAGTTTATTATATTTCATTTTGTGTGTTTTCTACACTAATGGCATTGTTTATGTTTTGAAAGGTCCAAACCATGGTTTTGTTGTAACGTAGACCTTTGTAAGATAGCATAATTATTTCATAGCCCCTTGGCAAATGTAGCATCTGAGTTTGGAAACGATGTATTTTATAATGTGTAATCATTTCATTTATACAATTTTAAACGTAATCGCATCATATTTCCAGGGCGAGTCCAAAACAATAATGATACTAGAGCAATTTGTTTGAATCTATAATTTTGAAATAACGTAAATAGGGATTAACCATATTATTTTCAACTATCTATGTTAAACAAAAAAACTTGCCAAACTTTGCCACTGATTATAAATAACCAAAACGATGCTTTTTATTTCAATGGCTTCTATGAAAATCGTTATACATAGTAATATTTAGTTATTTTAGTTATTATTACGATTAATTATGACTTAAAAAATGATCTTAAAACCCCATTTTCAATTTTAAAGTACAGATTTTTTGTTGTTGTAATAATTGTAAAAAAGTTACCTAATTTAGAACTGAAATTAGATTGAAACATTAACTACGTTTTCTAATCTCCCAAATTCCACTGAATCTGTTTTATATTTACCATTAAAAAAACAATAGCATAAAATAACAATGATGAAAAATAAAACACACATGTGGACAGGTTTCACCCCCATTTTGATGTGGCACGTACTGAATATTACAATTACACATTTGATTTATAGAACTAGAGGGATGGAATAACATAGGTCAATTAATGGGAACATCATTTCGCCCCATTGAATGTCTGACTCATGTTTCCTACCCTTGACCCTCGCTCCCCATCCAACCCCACCCCATACAAACATTCGAGGGGAAGACTTCGACCGTGTCATCATAGTCTCATGGCATGCCATCTGAAATGACAAACTTTGAAGTTTTGACTGCTCCTTTATCAACAATCTTCTGTTTTCGTAGTAATAAGTTTATTAGTTTTTGCTGTATATTTTTATAATTTAGATTTTAAGGGGGAGGGGGTTGCTCAAATTGTTGGGCAAGTAAATATATTTAGCCATTTTTAACTTTCACCTATGTGTTATTTCCACATGTAATTTAAAATAAAAAATGTTGATTGACTTCTAAACTTTAAGTAATTGTTAGTAAATGGTATGGAATCATCTTCATACTTTAAAATACAAGACATAAATTTTGTACTATTTGTTGAATAAATGAGAAATATTTATAGGTAAGTAAAACGAATTAATATAACTGGTTTATTAATTTTTAAGTGTTGAAAATTTCTTTGATAATAACTGACAAAGCAAGGTAATATAAACCATTTAATTAAAAAAATTGCTCACACTCATTAGATGTTGCAGTACGAATCATCACTGTATCTCACAAGAAATTGCAGCTACTAGCTATACTTAAAAATTAAAAACATAACTTTTTAACTGTGACAAATACGTAAAATTTGATACACACATCCCTCATCGTGGGTCAACACTTATTAAAGTGATTCTTTTGTGCTTTTGTAATGATAACACTGACTAGTAAAATATCGAAATCTTCTAATTAAGGGAAAATTGAAATTAAACCACTTACGTTAATACTTATTTTAATATTGTAAATCTATGAAGGTGAACATTTTGGTATTGATCTTGTAGACCTTTAAAATTAAATAACAAGGCAAATATTTGAGAAAATTAATATCACCCACACGTTATTAGTATCTAAAGACTAAAGCTGGGTAAATGGCTCATGATACGTAATGAAGCTAATTTTAAAAAGCCTTGGAGCACACAAAACATCAGAGTATGAAAGAACGAGCTTTAATATGCTGCTGACAGCTTTGTTTCACTGAAAGCGGATTAAAAAGTGAATATTGTAATGCTTTTATCACACAAGCTAAGTAGCTTACTTAGTAGGCTGAATAAGTCTTTCATTCGATGTAGATTGTAAAATTAGATCATAATTTGCATATCTCTTTAGATATATCTTTTAAAAGAGAAAATATATTATTTAAAATGTAACATTGCTCCTATATTACTTTTTTATATGATTACATTAACAAGTTCAACATACAAGATTGTATGATAACATCTTTTACTATTTAATTCATTAAAAATTATGTGTATCATGTTTTAAAAAGGGGGTTGGATTAGTTGTTTGAATTTATGTCAACTATTTTAGCATTGTCTGAAATGTTTATGGCAAAGTGACTAGATAGCGTAGTGGTTACAGTGCTCACCTAACAATCGAAAGACAACCGTAATAATCCTGAGAAAAGTCAGAAGGCTTTTGATGGATCGAAACTAGACCGAGCAATCCCACGATTGGGATTTAAATCTATAATACGGTCAGTAACAACACTCTAAAGTTAATTCCATTCCCTTCTACACCCAGCTTTCTCTAATAATTGGGTACAAATACGAACCATCACAATTTAATGACATTCAATTTACTTATTAGCATAAGTTGAAACCAAATGCATGTTTTTAAAATGAAACCACATCAACAAAGTATATGTAACTCACAATAATTTAATGATTAATGATGGTTTCTTTGACATTTCAATCGAAAGTTGAGACAACTCACATAAGATAGTCCAAAAGAAGACATATTACGTAAGTATAAGTAATGTGTAAGCTATGACTACTTTTTGTGGTCACGAAATCCCTACGTGGGGTCACGTAATATATTCGTGACATCGTGTAAATCATGGCATGTTTATGTAACATGCCAACTTTGAAATTGCAATGTTGAATATCTTCTTAGTCTTTATGTTATACAATGTGAGAAATAAACTATGAAATAAAAATTCTGAAATAAAGTATAGTACTGATTGTGTATGTTTTCCGTATTTAAAAACTAGATGAAAACTATATAGTGAATCACAATAATAAATCATGACTTAGACAAACATGCAAACCTGCCATTAAAACAAACAATGACTCTAAACTTACTTCAAGTTTTATACTGACATATAATTTAAAACATGCCACTGTGGATAACTGCAGGTGCATTGCAAGTTGGGGAAGGATGCAGTTTAGTAGAAACTAAATGGCCTAGTTGCAGTTTCTTGACCACTGCTAGAATATTACATGCACACATGACTATGACTATCTGGAGATAATGTTGACGGCATAATATGGGCTCATTTATCCCCACTTAGCATACGCCGTTCCTATATGGGGATGTGAGTGCCAGAACTAAAATGTTGTTTAAACTCAAAAAAATGGCTGTGAGAACTATTTTCTCTCTAAAAAAGCGCAAATCCTGCGGACAATATTTTTTCAGTTCAAAGATTTTGAGATTCCCATCCATTTACATTCTTGAATCTTTAACATCTGTGCAACAGGAATTTTCTAAATTTGATTTTTCTGTAAAAAACCAATGCACATTGCGCAATTCACACACATTACCTATTCCTAAACATTCAACAACTTTCTTCAAGAAACACTTACTGTACAATGGCATAACACTTTTTAATTCACTTCCACTTTTTCTTAAACTTGAACCGAACCTGTTAAAATTTAAAAGACAATTTAAAATCTTTGTTGAATAAGTTTACCTGTTATAGCGTCCAATAATTTACATCTAAACTCAGTTCCATTAATAGTGATGCAAATACTTATATATAAATCTGCACCATTGCATATTGTATATTTGTAAATAGTTCTTAAGTATATGAATCCAACTTTTATTTCATTTTGACTTAGCCAATACAACTTGTATATTGTTAATTCTGGCTGAATAAATGATTTGATTTGATTTGATTTGATGACCCTTAAAAAGTTCATACTTATAAATTTTTGTCCCTACCCATCAACCTACCTTACTATTTGCTAAATTATATCGTTAAGAACAGTGAAATAACTTACCTTTATTTTGTAAAATTAAAAAAATTGAGTGTCAATTGTATTTGCTTATCACTGATCGTAAAATGTATTTGACATATGAAATAGTGCTTTCCATAGTAGACGAGTTACAGTAGTTGTTGTCATTAAGGAAGCTTTTATTTTATAAAGAAGTGCATGTAGGTTACCGGTATATCGAATAGCCGAAATAGCTGCTCTATATTTATCTTTGTATCCTAAAGAGGGAGAACAAGAAATTTTTACGGTAGTTCAATTAATTATAAGAATGAATTACACAGTGATTAAAATTTTAAAAGTTTCAATTGGAAGCTACTAGATGCAAATTAGTATGCACTTTTAAGTTTTATAAGACTCATTTTGTCAATTTAACTGCAAACATAAATTAGTGAAATTAATTAAAATCCAACACTAATGTCGGAATAAATCAGTAGTATATTGTAAACAAAAAAAAATAAAGATAATGTAAACATATACAGGGTTGGGAAAAAGTATGGACACTCCTATTAACTTTACACAAGAAAAATACACTACAGAAAAGTGCACTTTTTTAACACATCTAAAGTTCATCCGAAATCCCAAAATGGGTTATTTTGGAGGCAGTTCAAAATGTTTAAATATGAACCCCTATTAAGCGACACCTCATTCCTGTTATATTGGGATACCAACACAAAAGTGCACTTTTATGTAATATAGTGGTGTGCACAGTTTTGTTTTCCTGGTTTAACCAATTAAAAAATAATAGTGCTAAGGGGTGTCCATGCTTTTTCCCAAACTTGTATGTCAACCTTTATGTAAAAATGTCAAATATTTATTGATTTCTGCAATTGTGAAATTACCCGGAACTAACCCATTACATAAACAAACTGCCTCATTTTTTTATTGTAGTTTGTATATACCCAAACCACCTACAACGTCATCATTGATTAATCCACGGCGTAACTAAGTTTCCCACAATCCCCTCAGTAAGATGTTACAAATCGTTAGCCTTAACACATGAGTTGGCAGTCTCACGTG